CAAATTAACGCTATTTAATAATTACAGTGTAAAAATTGCAAAGGCATTTAGAAAACCTCAGAATGTCCTTGATTTCAAGAAGCGCAGGACAAAGTTTTTTCCTTGTTGTCTCCCCTGTGTGTCTCTAACAACTCCTCTATTGCATTCCATGAGATTCTTCAGGTGCTTCCAGTCAGGGACTGTCCCCCGCCGCCCCCTGACCTTTTCCACTAAGGCATGGGCATGTGACCTGGGCTGGAAAGTTAGCATCCTTTAATCTGAGACTGACATTAGCATTGACAAAAAGCAAATCTCTCTCCTCTTTCCTTCTGGAAAGACTGCATTCTGGTTGCCATATTTTTCACCACATGGGAAGGACCAGTTTAAGTAGGGATGATGTCAACACAGAGAAGGTAGAATTGAGAAAAGAGAAAGAAAGTCTTGAGACATCTAAACATGTCTAAGGCCAATTCCACCTTTTATACCCAGATCTTATGTGAGCCAAAAAGATTATCTTTTCTTTAAACCAATTTGAGTTATTAGAAGCTTAAGAAATACAGGAGCATATGGAGAAAACAGTGAGATTGAGTTTGCTCTGTAGAAAACACAAAAATAAGATGTGATCTAAAGCCCCAAAGCAATAAGGTGGAAAAAGGTTTAACTAATTCCTGCACTTCATAAAACAAAGTCACTTTACCTCCCACACACTCTAAGTCCCTATTGGCATCATGTTCTTGCTTCTAGCTGCTTGGAGCTGAAGAAATTCCAAATTTCACTGGCCGTTGAGGAGTGATGCAGAGATAGAGGTTCCAACACCACTGCTAGTCAGCAAGAAGGGAGTCACATTCCTGTCTTCTAGGCTTGGACTCTGAATACATTTTTACATGTAATCATTAACACAACAAATAGATTGATTCTGAAATATTATTAGTGCAAGTCAGTGGGTCTAGCAAGTAATCAGGTAGTTTACAAACAAATGTTTGAAACATACTACCTTCTAAATTGGGGACCATCAGTAATTTTTACCACTGTAAATGTGTGTGTTTGTGTATGTCTATGTGATATATAAGGTTAATCGTTCATTCTCAGTTACAAAAAAGTAGCAATTTTCAAAGTGCCTCTGAGACCCCTTCAGAGAGTACATAAAGTAAAACATACTTCCATAATAATTCCAAAACATTATTTACCTTTTTCACTCTCATTCTTTTACAAGTGCACAGTGGAGTTTTCCAGAGACCTAATGATGTGTGATATCATATTAGATTAAATGGCAAAATAGATGAAAATCTACTGTTACCCACTGAACTGAACTAGCCTGTTGAACTAAAGAGATTTGCAAAATAATGTCAAATAATGACCCTCTTTGAAAATTATAGTTATTTTAAACAAAATATCTGTTATTTATATTAACATGAAATGGTTTATTGTCATTGCATAATAAATACATATTTTTTAATTTCTCAGTTTTTAGTTCTAATCTGATAAATATTGATGGGTATAGCCCACATTAATAAAAGAGCTTTGAGGTCCTCAATAATTTTTAAGATTGCAAAGGGCTCCTGAGATCAAAAAGTTTGAGACATTGAAAATAGATTCAGGTAAAATTTGTAATAACCGAATATTGCACAATTTAGCTACCAAATATAAACTCTCTATATTTTTAAAAGTCTGAAAGTTACTTGTGGTGATTCTCAGAAAGAAATTCTTATTGTAATTTATTAAAATGGGTATTTTACATGTCTATATTGACTTTAAAGTGTCTCTATGAGAAAACATTGATTTGCTATGGCATGTTGTTACCTTTAACACACCTGTACTCATCCAAAAAAGATATTACTGTTATTATCATCTTGCAGATTCAGAGGCTAGGCCTTTTTACCAGTGTCATCTAAAGTAGGTGCTGGCAACGTTTTTGTATAAAGGGCCAGGTTATAAACATTTTCATCTTTACAGGACATGTGATTTCTTCCTCAACTGCTCAACTCTGTCACTGTAGCATGAAAGAAACCATAGGCAATACATCTAAATGAGTGTGGCCATATTCGAGCAAAACTTTACTTATGAACACTGAAATTTGAATTTCATATAATTTTTATGAAATATTATTCTCCTTTGTTTTTTATTCTTTTTTTTGTTTTTGCTCATATCATGAAGTGTTATTCTTCTTTGGTTTGTAATCACTTAAATATCGAAAAACTTTCCTTAACTCATGAGCAGTAAAAAAACAAGTAGTGGATTGAATTTGGTCTGCAGGCTGTAGCTTGCCAACCACTGGTCTGAAGTATGTCCTACAGAACTTTAATCCTTTGAGATCCTCTGCGACAAAGGGTTCCATGACTAAATGACTTTGGAAAATGTTGCAGTGGAGATTCAAACAATATGCTGTATTTTAAAGCCTCTGAAATACCCTTCAAAAAACTTTTTTGTTTCACTCAAACCTAGTGGATGACAGAAACATTTTTTCAAATAATACTTGTTTAGTGCTCTCAAAATACTGTTCCATAGAATTTACATTGGGAATTACTGCTCTAAAGGATCCCAAACTCAAATGCCTATAGATATGTTGATACAGGTACATATACAGATATATGTTGATACATATCATATATGTATGATACACGTTCTGTGTAAGAAGATAGGTATTAATCTTTTCACACCTGCTCATTAACATTGCCTTTTGATCATGTGCGAGACAAACAAAATGACCAACAAAACATATCTTCATTCTTTACACAGCCCTGAGGCACCAGTTTGGAACCATTGGTATATTGGTAGTGGAAATGACTTCAATATTTCAAGATTCAGTACACAAGGGAAGGTAGTTCAGGCAAGCTACTTATCTTGTAGCTTGAATGATACTACACACAGCTGCATCCTTATGGAATAATCAGAGAAGGACACAGTAAAGATATAATGAAAGAGGGTATAATAATTGTGCTTTTGCTTTTACCTGATTCTGTGTGATTTTTAGGACAATATTTCCCAAACTTCAATGTACAAACAAATTACATGGGCTCTTGTTAAAATGCATATTCTGATTTAGTAAATCTGGGTGGTACCCATGTATGTACATTTCTAACAAACTCCAGGAAACACTGGAGATCCTTGGGGTCAGAGTTCAGGAAGGGATTAATTTCATTGCACAAATTCAGTGAAACTCAATGACCTACTGATTGGAAGAATTTGCATGTTCACAAGATCCCCGGGCAATTTATACGAATATTCAAGTCAGAGAAGCACTGCTCTAGAGCCAATTTCCATGAACACATTCTTAGTGCATTATAAAGTCAGTCCAGCTGTACTAAATAATCTCCACCAGTAGTGAAATATAGTTTGAGTGTCTTTGAATAAGGAAGGAATAAAGAAAAGAAGAATATTCTTCGCTTCTAAGACTCTGTTAAGGGAGCATTGCTTCACCTTGAAAAGTCCAGAAATGATTTATGAGGTAACCCTGGCCTAACATCTAATGAATCCACATTTATATCCAGCAGACAAAAGGGAATACAGACCAAGGGCTCAGAGGTCAGTTATAAAAACTTCTGATATCAGGGATTGGCAAAAAGAACTACATAGTAGAGCCACAAGAAAATCATTTCAAGAATGCTAAGTTTCGATAGAAATATTCCCATTAATGAAAATTGGCAGGATCACAAGTAGTGAGTAATCAGTAAAACTACGCTCTACACCTGCAGCCCATCCTTTAGGGAGCTGGCATGAGGTGGTAATCAAAAGCTAAGTGCTCTTTTCCCAACCAAAGGTCACCGAATGAGGACACACACCCTGAAAGGCTTAAAGATGTTATACAAAGCACTTGTACAAAAAACAGAAACCATATGAGGATACTTGATAAATATTTGTTGAATGAGCTCAAGAATAGCAGACTTGTGTTCTGAATAAAGGAGTTGTAATTCGTGTGATTGTCGTTCTAATTTTTGGGGTGACAACTGTAACATTCCTTGGACTCGAGAATGCTATATCTTAGCATTTTGATTTGGTGAGTGCTGAAAGGGGGGCTTAGGAAGGGTATTATGTTTGTAAACGAAGTATTAAAAATCAGCAAAAAATGTCTGGGACATCATGCTAAGATGCTGGGGGTAAAAAGCCATGTTCTTATTGATAAGAATACTGAAATATCAAGAATGGAACCAAGAATATTGATCTCTTGAGAAGCAGTCACTTATGGATAATAAACAAAGGCACCCTCTCAAATGAAAGAGAGTAGCACAATTATAATTTAGCTCAGCATCTAGCCTGGCAGAGTGGTGCCTTTAGAGGCCGCTTAAACCCTGTAACGCTTTCCCTGGGCCATGCATGAAGGAAGAGCATTGGTACATTCCCTGTGTTCACAGACTCAGCTTCCTAAATCACCCAACTCTTTTATTACCTTTCCCCTCATTTATTTTTTCCATCCCCTGGCTTCAGGCCTGACTTTTCCCCCCATCACAATTAAGTTTTTATCCTTACCCTTAGAGCACATTCTACCTCTTCTGCTCATGACCCCAGTCACCCATGACAATAGTTTTACTTCTTCATTTTTCCAGTGAATTAATGAACTTCTTTGGTAATGCCTCTCTTTATTTCACCAGCCGCAGTATCCTTTAATACTTGGCATCTGGTCCACCTTCATAAGTAGGGTCAAGGTCTGATCAGAACAGACCACATCGAATAGTCTGTTATCCGTGGTTCACCCTGAGCTCTCATTCTGCATCTTTTCTTATATGTTTTCAGTTGTGTTTCTCTTGACTCCACCACTAGATCATTTCTTACATGGGGGGAGGTCTTCTTTTACTTTGTTAACTCTCTCAGAAAGTAGAAATCTTATTTACCAAATACTTCCCAAATTTTTATGATTGAGTGACTCTTAGGAAACAAGAAATATATATTGAATGCCAAGCATAAGCCCAGATTGAAACTAGTTGCATAGACTTTGGCTAACATGTTCTCTAAACTAGCAGAGAGAAATCACTCATTATGAAACAACATTCCCCTTCATCAATGGCCAACACATTTGTACATTTCTTACCTGGGTAAAATCAGACAAGCAGCTAACTTTAGGCCAATAGATGTATCTTCCTTTTACATTTCGGATGACATGCTTTACACCTATATTTATTATATAGAACAAAGCCACTGTAACTTAGTTGAATAAAACTATTGAACCTTGCTCATAAAATAAAATAATGTCTGCAGTTATAAAGAGATACCTTTTCTCGATAGAGCTAATCATTTTTACACACATATTAAAAATTTTAAAACTTCAGGGTCAAAAAATTATATTTTCACCCTTAAAATACAAAATGCTATACATAAGGTTTTCCCCTATTAGTCAAAACATGAGTCATACAATCTCATTTAACTTCAGCTTATTTTTAAACTAAAGCTAATATTAAATTTACTTTGTGCAAGAGCCAAGCTTTATACAGCTATAACGGCTCTCAATATGTGAATGAATGAAGACAGATTGATAAGGCATACTGCTCACTCATCAAAACTGAGTAAGTTTACCTACTATGTAATTGTATCCATAATTATAAAATAATTAGAAGGCATATTTAGGATGAAAAGAACCCACTCTAAGATTGTCTTTGAAGTCACTTGTTTTTCTTGTTAATATTTAGTTTTAGTTTGTTATTATAGTTAGATTGGAAGCTTTTGGACATTTGAAAATATTCTTATGGCTTTTGAAGTATTTGCCCTGAAATGTCTGCCTACCGTAATGTAAACAAATTTTCATGGTGGAAGTTACCACTCTTCACTTCTTCTACTTGGTCTTGCTCTGCCAGCATCTTCCATTCTTCATCCTAGAGAAAACCATAGATATTGAAGAAATCAAAATAACAAAAATTCCCAATCTTTTAAGCATTTACTATATACAGACTTGCAATATCTTAGTGAAAACACCACACAGCAGCTCTATACCTGGTTTTCACCGTTGTACGTATAAATAAACTGCAACTCAGAGAAGTTAGCCACTTTATCCAAAATCTCACAGTAAATGATGTGGCAAGTCAGGCTCATATCTGACTCCAAACTATAAGTATCAATAATAATAACGACAACAAAACCAACTAATAAATTACTGAGTAACTACCTGCCAGCTACTTTACTAATAAGCATGTCCCAAGATTATATCAAATCCTCACAACAGCAGTATTAGGTAGATTCATTTTAAATCCCAATTTTGTGGATTTGGTATAGAGAAGTTAAATAGCTTGTCTAAGTCTACAGTGCTGATGAGGGGCAGCACAGAGACTTGAATCGAGCTGGTCTGAATCCAGTGCCTACTACTTACTTAATACTCAGTTAGGGACAACCTATTTTAAGAATGTATCTTAAACTATCCAGTCACTGATATTACTGTTACTGATACAATTCATTATGTGTAATATATTGCCAAGAAATTAATGTATTTGTGTCTGTGTTTATTTGCACTTTTATCCCCTACCGTGCATCAGGAACGCTAGGTTTTGTGGATACAGAAGCAAAAGATACCCTCCTGATCAAGAAGCTCTCGGTGGAGCTGGGAAAGATACAGGCTAATAAATGCTGTTGGAGTAGGTGAGAGAATAGCTCTTTTCCTGCAGCAGCACCGAAATGCTTCACAGGAGAGATGACGTTTAAGTACTGTAATAGGTAGAGAATGAGGTAAAACGGCCCCGCCATCCACATTTGGTGTGGAGGATGCTAAGCAGTAGAAACACATGTAAGAAGATAACCTGGACTGTAAGAGAAATAGCAGTTGTCTCATTACTCAAGTGGAAAGTATGTATGACACTGACCCAAGAAATGGGCACGTAAGCAGCGTCTGACCTCAAAAGTTCTTCATCATTTTAAATTAATTAATTATTTATTTCATATAATTAACAAATATTTATTCAATGTCTTCTATATATCAGGAATGATACCCATTACTTAGGAGGCAAGAAAGACATAGTTCTGACTCCCTAACCAGGTACTGTACTATTTGTTACTGTGAGGAGTTTGAAGTTGGGAGGCAGTGAAAGAATTTAAGCAAGATGATATGATTGATTTCACACGTGGAAATAATTATTCCTGAGTAGTGGTCTGTGTTGGAAAATCTGACAAATATTTTTAAAATTAATTATATATGTCATGATTTCTATCATTTTTATTCTTTCCTTTCTCGTACTTAATTTCAGTATAATTTATCTTTGTCTAACTTTTTAAGGTGGAAGTATAGAGCACTGATTTTAAACCTTTCTCCTTGGCTAACATAAGCATGTAAAGCTATAAATTTCCATCTAAGCACTGCTTTAGCTACATCTCACAAATTTATAACGTTTTTTCATTATCATTCAGGAGAAAATTACCATCATAATTTCTTTTATGACCCATGGGTTATTTAGAAGTGTGTTGCCTAATTTCCAAATATTGGATAATTTCTAGTTATATTTCTATTATTGATTTTTACTTTAATATAGGTGTGGTCAGAAAAACCACTCTGTATGACTTCAATCTTTGATATTGAGGTTTATATTATGACCCAGCATATGTTTATCTTGATGAATGTTCCATACGTACTTGAAAGAATGTTCTGCTTTTGTTGATTAGATCAAGTTGGCTGACAGTGTTTTTCAAATCTTCTATATTCTTACAGATTATTTTGTCTACCACTACTACTAAGAAACTGTATCACTCAGGTTCTCCAGAGAAACAGAGCCACTAGGAGATATATATAAATAACTCGTGTATATATATATATATACAGGAGTTATTTTAAGGATTTGGCTTATGCAATTGTAGGGGCTGGCAAGTGTGAATTTTAGGGCAAGCCAGCAGGTTGGAAACTCAGGAAGGAGTTAATGCTGCAGTCTTGAGGCAGAATTTATTGTTCTCTGGAAAACTCAAGTTTTTTAAAAGCCTTCAGCCATTGGATGAGGGCCCACCCACATTATCAAGAGTAATCTCCTTTATTTAAAGACAATGAATTGTAGATGTTAACTACACCTACCAAATACTTTCACAGCAACACCTAAATTAGTGTTTGATTAGATAACTGAATACTGCAGCTTGACTGAGTTGACACAAAACTAAACATTATATCAACTGTGAATGAAAATTTGTTTTTTTCTCTCTTCGTCCTATCAATTTTTGCTTCATTCACTTTGAAGCTCTGTTATTAGGTAAACACATGCTTACGATTGATGACTGCTATGTCTTCTTGATTAACTAATCCATATATCATTATGAAATACCTTTCTTTGTCTCTGGTAATACTCGTCTTGAAGTCTCCTTTGTCTTATTTTTGTATAACCACATCAGCTTTGAAAAGCTTAGGTTTTTTTTCATAGTATACTTTTTTCCACCTGTTGCTTTCAATGTCTGTGTCTTTTTATTTAAATGTGTTTTTTCTAAAAGAATATATAGATGGAAATTTTTATACAGCCTGAACATCTCTGCCTTTTAGTTGGAGTGTTTAGCAGGAATCTGTTTATATTTAATGTAATTACTAATATGGTTGCGTTTTAATCTCCCATCTTGTTGTCTTATACCATTTGACCTTTATTCCATTTCTCTTCTTGCCTTATTTTTGAATAAAGTAGTTTTTAGTATTTACTCTATTCCTATCTGTTGACTCTATTGATATGCTTTTTTGTTTTTTACAGATTGCTCAGTCTAGAAATAATAACATATGTCTTCAAAGTTTACCCTCAAATAATACTATGGTACTTGGCAAACAATATGAGAACCTTATAACTTCAAGTTTATAATTGTAAAAATGTTCCCCTTTTCTGACCTTTGTGCTCTATTTTATTCTACACATGTAATAGACCCAACAGATTGTTATTACTTTTTTCATATAGTCAATATATTTTTGAAGAAATTAAAATACTGTTTTAGTATTTTAATTTTTTATTAAAAGATTGTTTTAGTATTCTTATTTTTAATACATACATTAACCAAATATTTACCCTTTCTGGTTCTCTTCATTACTTTCTGTAAGTCTAGAGTTCCATCTGGTATTATTTTTCTTCAGTCTGAAAACCTCTCAGAATTTTGTGTAGTGCAAGTTTACTGAAGAGATGCTCTCACCTTTTGTCTATTGGAAATGCTTTTGGCTTCTTTTTTTTTTTTTTCAATTTTTAGGATATTTTTGTTGAACATAGAATTCTAGATTGGTTTTTTTCTTTCAGTACTTTAAAGATAGTATTTTATAATTTTCTGGCCTGTAAAGTTGGCCGTCATTCATTGTTTCCATATGTAATGTGTCTTTTTCTCTGCTTACTTTAAAAATTTGTTCTTTATTCTTGGTTTTCTGCCATTTAAGTGTGATATACCAGTAAGTGGTTTCCTTTATATTTGTCCTACCTTGGGTATGTATGAGTAAGAGGAAGAATTTTTCTAGGAAATGTATTGCACAAATCCAAATACATTAAATAGAACATAGCGAGGAAGATTTTCTGTCCCAGACATTCTACAAATCCAGGTTTATTTTACTAGAGGGTAAGACTCCTATGCTCAATAGGTCTCTGAGAGTCCCAGGTTATAACACTCTTAAATCATGCTGGCCAGAAACTTCTGGAAAACAAAACGCCATTTTGGAAAAGATAAGACAAACTTTTAAAATATGTTAATCTCTTATATTACCATTAGGAAAACGTGAGGTCAGACAAGTAATTCAAATCAATAATTTGCATATCTGACATTCTTTGGGGGATTTTGCTTTGGTTGTCATATGTTCATTCCTTGGAGCTGGTGAGAACAAAGCATTACACTTTCTATAACCATAGTAGGTTGTTCTAGTCAAAATATCCTTCAACTGATGCAGTCGTGTTCAGGCAACCAGCAGGGAGTTAGTTAGCCATCAGCAGTGGACAGCCACAGTAGTGCATCAGCCTGGTGTGGTGTGTTGAAAGAAAGAGAAGACTAAATAGGGATAAAAATTTTGAAGACCTTAAAAGCACATTCTTTCCTACTTCTGATTTTGGATTCCTCTCTGATAAATACCTATCCTGCTTTTCAAAAATATGGTGGGGGAAAAAAGCCCTCATAATTCACATCAGGAGATTAATTTTTAATCTTTATACTTAAGCAATAATTGATCACATCTTGACAACTTTTCTTTTGCGATAACTAGTCAACCTAAGTGATTTCAAGCTGAAATAACAATATTCGTTAATTTGTCCATAACTACTAATTAATTTTTTCTTAAGTCTTGACATAAATCCAGTCTGCAAGAACTAAAGCCAAAGTGAACATCCTTTGAACCCTGGATGAACAGTTCGTTTACATCTGGATGTTCTGACTGAATTTGAATAGTGTGTTCTTGTATCCCAGGAGAAAAGAGCTAAGTTCATGTCTATGCTGGTTTGTATCCAAACAGAAAAGAAAATAAATATTAATTTTGGCATATAAATTTATTAAAATTATACATTTGGGTATTTTTCTTTATAGGAAATACTGATTTCAAAATGTCATTTTCTAGATAGTAGTAAGAGAAATAAAACTGTAAAAATGATCTTTCTATTTTCCTTGAACTTTTCAAAATTATGCCCTGCAATAATTAATGGGTATACTGAAATACTGAACAGCTGCAATGCTAATCTCAAATCAATATTTATATTTGCTCTTACAAATAAATGAAATGATTTTTCATGCCAATAAATTGAAGCCACAGATAATTATTTTTATAACTTAAAATTTCATGTTGTTTTTTAATTTGCTGCATATCGAAATGTATTTTATCACATAAAACTTGTAACGCACATGAGATTGTAAGGTAGACATCACTTTTAAAAAAGTTTCAAATGTTAAGCAACTTGCTTACTATAAAAAGTCT